TGTTAGGAGGATGTCTGCGTACCCGTTTCATAGCTGGATAATCCCTCGTGCCAAACAAACACCTCTTTTCAGGAAAACATCCATGTTGCTGTCTGCCACACCTTCGTAGTCACCAAACGTATCATTTCTGACTAGAACCATTACACTGCTCTGCGGCGGTACAGTCACATCATCATCGACGATGCGCAGTGGAGTGGTGTATTGCTCGTCTGCTCGAGCTACCTTTATAGCTTGTTCCGTCGAAAATGATGCGCTGGACCTCTGCAAATTAATAATGGCACCATTTCCTAGCAGAAAATCCTTTCCGAGTATAACTTCTCTCAAACATACGGGCAGGACAACAAAGTCACCAGCTTAAGCAAAACCACCTATTTCAACTCTTGCAGCGCATTTGCCGGGAGGCATAATAAGGTGACCGCCTGCCGTACATACTTGAGGTCCACTCCATTCGGTCAGAACTTTCCTGAGGCACTTCGTTAAATCGTAGCTTATCACAAAGTAATCCGCACCGGTATCGATTAAAGCCATGAGCTCTAGCCCGTCAATTACCAACGGCAAGTCTGAAGTTATCTTCTCATTACTGCACTTCTTTACCTGGAGACAGTTGTCGTTGTCGTCACGCTGGTGTCGCAGTGGAGGATCTTTGTATTTCGAATCACCAGCGGCCTCGCCTCCACAGGTCGCCCGCTTCAGTTTCCCGGGTTTGGACTAGGCGAACGATGCCTAGGTGCGTTTGGAAAGGAACGTGGGCTTGGCGAGCGCTAACGTAGAGGAAATGGTGACTGCGGTTGATGACAACGATGCAGGTCGAAGCTCTGACGTGAGCACAAGTATTCCTCAATGTCGGACGGCCTTCCGCCGTTTCGCGGACACGGTGCGTTGACCGCAAGTCCTCGAAGACCAGCTTGACGATATCGGCAAAACCGGTACAGATGGCCAGCCTCTCCACGGTAGAAGCACAAGGACCTACGTTCCGCATCTCGGCATACTTTGCTTTTCCGAGGTCTTGTCTCTGTCGAAAGAGGTGCGCTGCGAGTTGCCTCTACGATATGGCGCGGGCTGCGTGTTGTCGGTGCGTAAGTACCAGGTGTCTCGATAGGCGCACAGTGGACAGCAGACCGCCTGAGCACCTCAGAATAAGTTACCGCGCGTCATATCGGTGGTGCATCCCTATGCGACTACCTTATGGCCTGCCGAATTTCTTCTCGGACAACATCCGCAATAGACAGTTCCGGTGAAGCGGGTGGCTGCAGCTTGCGTAGTTCCCCCCTGACAACCGACCGGACGAGCTCCTGCAGAGTGTCAAGATTATCGACAACGTTTGCCGAGAAGACCCCTGCTGATGTACAGGCTACGTCACGATTGTATTGCCGGGCTCTCTGTTGCAGCGTCGTTTCTATTGTTGTTGCTTCCGACCGAAACTCAGCAACAGTGCGCGGCAGATTGCGAACGAGTTCCGCGAACAGCTCTTGTTTTACCCCATGTATGAGATGACGCACCTTCTTGTCTTCTGTCATGTTGGGATCAGCTCGCTTGAACAGGCTGGGCATGTCTTCTATGTACATAGCGACAGTCTCGTTTGTGCGTTGATTCGGTGCACGAAGAGCTGCTTCTGCTTTTTCCCGGCGATCATTGTTGTCAAAGGTACACAGTAGCTGCCGCCGGAACTCTTCCCAGGACGTCAAAGATGAGTCTTGGTTTTCGTACCACACTCGTGCTGCGTCTTCCAAAGAGACGTATACGTTGCGCAACTTGCCTGCTTCGTTCCATTGGTTTATGTTCGCCACCCTCTCGAAATGATCCAGCCAGTCTTCGGCGTCCTCGAACGGGTCACCATGGAACACCTTTGGTATGACAGGTTGGCTGACAATGAGCTGTGATGGTACAATTTGGCTAGTCATGGTGGTAGCGTTTCTTGTCTCCGCCGCTGATGCCCTTGGCACAGGGGGAAGTGATCCAAATTCTGGTGAATCCCCTCAAATACGGCGACTGGTACGTTGGTGCACCAGCGTAAGCTCCACGGCTTGCGGATGGTCAGGGCTTGGACTTAGCTCTCTCGTGGGATTTGGAATCATCTACCCCGCACCTCCACCAGAAAATGTAACGAATGTAGCAGCCTCACAACAAGGATGTTCTATTTACACGGTTTATTAAGGGCGAACTTGTGCCCAAAGTGAAAGACGCACAGCAATCAAGAAGATCCAAGGTCGGTAGTCCTCGTGAGCCTCTGCCTTGAGCACCCTCGTTCTCTTCTTCTTCACACGTGTTGGCTGTTCAATGAAGTGCCGTGCGCATGCAGGGCCGGCTCGTGCATTGCGGCTGGCTTCGTCGCTCGTAGTCTAGCCGTTAGCGTTTCTCTGGTTCCCGACATCCGCGTTGCGCGGAGCAATGGTAATTTCCTGTGGCAATATAACTGCTACTGGAATGAAAAACACAACCCTAGCCCCACTGCAATGCCCTGCATGTGAACTTCCCTGCATAAAAAACATGCAATGTAGTGCAATGCCAGGAGAAACGAGTTGCAAAGCCCAGTCAGCCAGTTTTCTTCCTTACGTTGTTAATGTTAATGAGAATAGACAAGCCAAGGAAATTATAGGTGATATTATTTGTAGCAATATTATTGTGAACAAATTCAAGTGGACAAAAAAAACAAATTGCCAACAGGAAATGAACCTGCAACCTTTGAAAAACATGTCCAATGCTGTATTGATTGAGCTACGGCATCAGTAGGAAAAAAAAGGAGGATGACCCTAATTTCAGGTCTGGCGGTTCCATGCTGCCAATTTCATACAGGGTGGGTGCTCTTCCAAACGACTGTGAGCTTCTCTTCTGCCGAGCACCAGGCCAGAAGTGTGCTTGTACCTATACAGGTGCCTGGTGGCAGCAATTCTCTTCCTCCCACAGCAGCGGCGGATGCTCAACTATTTCACCAAGGCTGCGGTGGATTAATATACGCCCAGGAGCCTTCCAGGAGCCTTCGCAGAACGTTATGGGGCTACTTTTCGAGATGAGTACACAGAAACAACAGAGCGCCAGGTCGGTGTGTTCCGGTCGGCACTGGGAATCGCACCATGTACCTCCCGAATTGAAAGTGGACACTCTAACCATGTAGTCATTGGTGCGGCCTGTACACTATATAGGATCTATCTGTGCATTCGAACCTGGGAGTGTTAATCAGCAGTGCTTGAAGCCAAGATGGCGACTAAGCAAAAAACAAGCTGCAAAGCAAGCAAAACTCTTTTTCGCTTTGCTTTTCCAGCAGGAAAACTGGGAACATTTTTTTTTGCTTGTTGGCACTGCGCAGCACAGGATCTTTGGCCAAGCTAACAGCCAACTAATAATCTGAGATTTCATATGAAGGTTGCAGGTATGGTCCCTCACAACGACAAGTTGTCATCGTGCCCACTTCGATTTTTTCATATTTCTGTAAAGCTGAGCAAATAGCAAAATTTTTGGAGCACAGTGAATTGAAAAATTAAGTCTGAGTGTGAATCGGATAAAATATTTTTTGACAAGTTTTCAAATATTTGTTTATTTTTCGTTTACTTCAAAGTTAAATTACACAAAAAAGGTTGCAGAGAATCTTTCACTTTTTTTATGAGATAGGAACATGATAGTGTTTCTCTTGGCTAGGTTGGTGAAGTGCTGGAGGGATGGTGCTCCATAGCTGTTTTATCAAGAATGAGGCAATGTAGAGGCCAAATTGTATTTATTTACGTGGTTTGGAGCAACCGATGCATTGTCACAACACCTTAATGTAAAAGGAAAAGACACTATTTCCTCCATCTCTCCTCTGCTTCAACTTCAGTGGAGGCCCAATTGATTTGGCAGACAAGGGTGTGCTCCCTTTGAGTTCAGTGTTTAACCTTCCTTAAGGACGTCAACATAAAAGAACATTTGTGATCAAAATCTTTGGCTTCCGATTTTTTAGACTTTCTGCCCAGATTTCAAACAAAAAATGACATTAAATGAACCTCCTGTTTCACTGAGCCTGTCATCTCCATATTGGAACCAGCATTTTCTTGAGTCAATACATTTGCGTCCACAGCAGAGTCTGAAAGGCAGCTTCACTATAATGCGAGATGTGATAGATTGAAGCAAACAAACAAAAAATCTGAAGGGGCTACTGTCAATTAAATGAACTTCCTGTTTCGCTGAGCCTGTCATCTCGATATTGGAACCAGCATTTTCTTGAGTCAATACATTTGCGTCCACAGCAGAGTCTGAAAGGCAGCTTCACTATAATGCGAGATGTGATAGATCGGAGCAAACAAACAAAAAATCTGAAGGGGCTTCTGTTAATCTGACATTGACTGTATTTGTCTTTGGCAAGTTTGAATAGTGAAATTCCAGTGTGAATCAAATGAAATAGCAACTATTCAAAAAGCATTTCGAATATTTGCACGTTCCTACATGATTTATATATAATAACCACAAATGACATCCACTACACTTTCCTTGGCTTGATTTCTCCTTAACATTGGGCTGAACAAAGCAAAATGAGCCCTTAAAGACTCCCCTTCTATCCTTCATTATGTATGCTTGTGCGATGGAAACTAAGTAAAGACAACACAGATGGATCAAGTGCTTCTATGTGAGCACATTTCACATTGTGATGTTCATTTTGACATTCGTTTTTGGATGTTCAAAGAGATTTCACAAATGTTCGGCATTGCCAATAAGCCGACAAATTTGAGCTTAACATATCAGAGATCGACTGTACAAGAAAAAGCTGTGGACAAGTACGTGAAATAATTTTTAATTAAGAAAAGGTCATTGATTATCACAGCCGACCAATAAATGCACTTTTAACTAGATATTGTACCAGAAAAAAATGGTTGCTTATTCGAAATCAGCACTGACATATACACGAACTCAGCAGGCTTCATCAACATCAATATAAAATTTGAAGAACCTTGAGGAGCAGCGTCCTCCTTTAAGAGACCACTCGTCTCAGCACACTATTTGGAGTAAGCAGAAATCAAAATAAGCCCACATACTCTTTGATTTGGTCCAGTTCTTCAGAGCTGTATTTGCCAATGTGGTTCTTGTTGTCATACATGCGGATGACACGGCGATACACCGAGAACAGGGGCCGGTTCAAGCCCTTGGCCACAGTGCGGTAGAAATCCTTACGCTCGTCTTTGGTCATTGAAAATATCACAGTGGCTGGGCTGCTGATATCGCGCTCCTAAAAAGACAATGTTTATTTAGTGCACCTAATTAGTGAGGTATGCATCATGCCCTTATCTCATGTGCCTATTATTAAACACACAGCATTCAACAGACACAACTCAGTAACTACAATGGCCCAACTTCACAAATGCCCAAATTCACTGCGTTTCAGTGTTACACAACTGTGGAAAGCCACTTTATGAGTTTTATAGGCATTAATGATGCTAAAAACTTGCAAGAAGTTTAACCGTACTTTACTCTAGCAATAATGGCAGAAATACTTAGTACAGGTAATCAAACAAAGTTAAGCTACTGAAAGCAGTCATTCTGTTTACTGAGCCACTATAAATCGTAATGTGAGGTTTCTGCTTATTAATTAAAAGTGACTGCTCTATTGATGTTGGTTGATATTTCATGAATAAAGAAACATCGTAATAGTTGGTACAGCTAGACATTGTTTAAAACATAGAAAATTTATATGTCTTGAATTAAGTGCACTAGTGATAAATCAGATTTTTGGTTGATTCACATTGCAAGCTTTTGCTTGGCCAATTAAGTCTTCAATATGCCTTAATGCCACCAAATTCAAACTGCTCTCTGCATAAATTTGGTTATGTCATACTTGTTTGCTTGTGTGCACCTGAAAATACCTGCTGCCACTGTCGCTTCTCGGTGAACATTCATGTTCTTGGGTCACTGAAAGCCACTAATAAAGCGAGCCTATAGTGCAGCCAATCTAGCCAAATCACGGGCAGCAACATTCACATGTTAACTGCAGAACGGTTCACATGGCCTTCGTATAGAAGTACTTTACTGGGCTAATCGGCTCATGATTCTACATAGACCACGAAAACATGGCTGTTCTTGTGCAACTAAAAAAAATGAGAAAACAGGTCAGTAGGGGTGCAAAATTTAGACTGTTTATAACAGTGATGTGATTGACTTGAGCTGTTTTGGAGCAGATTTTTGGAGCAACAAAAACTGCATTTTGGAGCAGGAAAAGGTTATTTAGGAGCTGCTGAAAATGCATTTTGATGGGAGAAAAACGACTTTTGGAGCAGCTTAAGGCTCACTACCAAATGGGACACTGACTGTGTGAAGCACAGCAGTGAACTAAGGAGTAACCCTTTCGAATAAAGAAGGTCTGTGCAATAATGGATGTTTGGAGATGTTTGTATGACATCACAGTATATAACCCCAAACTAATCTCAAACCTTCCAGTACATTTTTTAATATGGGATACAACCAACTACGAATTAGTGCAACATTCTGGCTGCTGAAATAATGCAGAAGAGCATTTATTATTTGAAGAACAAATAAATCACCATAGAATTTTTTATTGAAGACTAGCAACACTAATTTTTTTTATTGCAGAAGATTTGTTGTCTAGTTGGTTGTCTTCTTGCCTGACATCTTGTCAAGGGCTGCAGAGAGTCGTATTTTTCGTTCACCAAGCAAAGACTGGCACTACTGATGCGCTCGAGTCTCAATCCAGTACGTGGTGTGAGCACGGCAGTCGCCAGAAAAGCTTCAGTATTTAGGGGTCGTGGAAACGCTGATCTACGAGGCTTTCATTGTGTCAGAACATTCACAGAGGCTCGCGGCGATACCAAGCACGGCTCCAAGCACATCTAAATCGCATCACGAAAGCTTATTGACAGCATTCCATATGACCGTGAAGTGCGCGGCCGCGTGAACAGTACAGCCGGCGTGGATGCACTTGGCGGCCGCTTTCGGTGACATGCGCGAAATGCGTAGCTACGATGACAAAGAAATAGGCGTGCACTGTGCTTGGTATCGTATTTTTGAGTGCCATCGCACGAAACTGCTAGCCGCTGTTCTGAGCAATCTTAGCAGTGATGCGGAGTGGGGGGGGGGGGGGTTGACGAGCTTGACTGTGGGGTTCGCTGCCAATACATAAAATGCCCGTCCGAGGTTCCGAGGAGCTAGTGAGTGATCTGCTTCGTTGTCTACGAAGAAGCATGTTTCCACGAGTGCGCTAGCATGTTGTTCTCGCCCGCAAAGTTCGTCTTGCATCAGCAAAATTAGGCCTAAAGACGACTCCGGTGACGCACTGTGCTCATAGTAATCTGATCGAGCATTCGCTTACAGTTCCTAACTAAAGCATAATTATATTCTAAGTGATCGTCAAGCCGTGAACACGTCATAAAGTAGTGACTCTCGACAGCCATGTCCTCTCAACGCACAAGCAGCAGATTACAATCACCCAGAGCGAGCATAGGGCCAATGGCGAGGCGAGCTGGGACAACACAGCGGCCACAATCAATCAGGGGCCTCAAAACGACAATAAAACATTTGCTTTTTGTGCTCTTGTTTTTTAAAGGAAGGAGCCAGCTGAGGCGAGCAATTTGAACACAGAAATACTCTTTTTGATGAGCCCACAAAGCCGGTTTGCAGCCGCGCCATTGCAAAGCTATAATTTCTTGAAAATAACTGTTTTTTCATGATTTACAGAAATATTTTCACTACCTAGAAGGGTGAAACGAATTTTCCAAAGCACTTCTGCACGGTTTGGGTTGCAGAAACTTAAAACTTAATATTGAGAAATCTTTTTTTTTTTTTTGCCATTTTTCGCGATACAAAACCGCGTGTCACCTTAATATTTGTGCTACACCTGAGTTGACTGTTGATAATAAGTTACAAAGAAGTTTAAAGCTGGTTTGCTAGTTCACCGCCCTTCTAGCTTTCAGCTGTTTTGAACTACTGTCTTCTATCCACCTGCCGAACACGATTAGCTCGGAACTTCAGACACCGGCTTGCAGCAAGCCGTTCCGTCCAAGGTGCATTTTGGGGGGGGGGGGGGGGGTCACGCTAATTTACACCAGTCTGGGCCCAACCAATTGTCTGCGCCTTTCCATAAAGCAGCGTCCGGCCATATCCCCCCCCCCCCCCCCCCCAGGACGGGCCACCAATAACCTCGAATTGTCGCCGGCGGCACGCTGCGCCCGTTTTTCAGTAGTATTTTGTAATTAGGTGCAGTTTTGGCACAGAAAGGAGGAAATGTAGCGAAAGGTAGCAGGTTTCCCGTTTTGGCACAGCTATCGCATCACTATTATAAGCACAAACATGCACTAAAAACTAGGCACACATCAAGTGCAAGCCACCCTAATCAAAACCTGTGAACTACAAACTTTCTCTCTGCCCACGAGAGAGACACTGACCTATCACTGATACATGAGGAAGCTTGTGGTTTTATGAGGAATGCCTCCAACAATTCTCAAGCCGTGGTGTCCCCGCTTCTGCTGATAACCTGCATCTTATTCACGCACGAATCACACTCATGAAAATTGTAGTGCGTTGTCAGATGTGTCCAATCTTTACCTTGTAGTGTACACATATCCCGGAGGAGTATGGCCACTCGCGTAAGTCCGGTTTTAGCGAGCCGAAGGGCAAGCGTTAACTGTCGCCGTGGTGAGAACACGGTACTGCTCAAGGTCACAACACTTTATTGCCTGCGGCAACCCCGAAAACGCAGTACAGAGCCCGTTTCAACAGGGGCGGCGGGAAAGCAAATGGGCTTATCCGTGCCACGGGTGAGAAGTACTACACAGGATGCCGCGAACACGTCTCCGTGATTAAAAGTGATTCACAGTGACAATGGGACAAACGACCTGGTCGCTCGTGTGAAGGCAAAAACTCTGCTCGCGCTGGCTTCCGAAAGGTACGGATCGGCGTAGTTTGACCACACACTAGGACACCGCACCACTCTTCGGTCTAGCGTTCAAAGGGACCACAAAAAGTGAGCGTTCGCCGCGGGCACAAGGCACCGTTGGGGAAGTCCGACAAGCCCCAAATAGTAAACACCGACGAACGGAAAAGAAATGAGTGCTCACCCTAAGCTGTCCCGGAGAGATCTCTCACTGCTGACGCATGTGCACGAAACGTTCAGAGAAACTTTGCGCATGGCGCCACAGTCGACATTTACTACCGGGTGAGAGGGGTTAGAACTCACTCCGTTCCCCCAGTGCGACAGATCGCGGAGGAAGGGAGAGTCATGTTTGGACATGAGAACGGCAGGAATAGGTGGCAAAGCCCGCTCAATGGTGGCGGGCTAGCCTCAATTCCTATACCCTCTCATCTAAATTTGCCCTTTACCAGTCTGCAAAGGCAGCCAGACGTCACCCATGCAGTTAAAATGACACTTCTATGAGCAACAGCTAACCTCAGTCCAGCCCTGTAACTACTGCTAAAAGAAATGATGTCGAAGGAGAAACATTAATAACAAAATAAGCACATGACACTATAACATGTTTGCAAAACAGAAGTAAGGCTAGTGTTCGTGGTGCTGAGGCGGGATAGCGTCCACCGTGTGGAGGGGCTGCAAAGCGTGATGTTTACTGAGTGCGATGCCCGTGTGCAAGGTCAGAGGCACGGAAGGCGCTGACTGGTAGCTCACAACGATGATAGGGCTGCAGGTCCGACGAAGGCCACTTCGGTGGCAGCTCAGAGGTCCCGAATTTCCCAATGGATAACGGGGATACGTCACTGAGAAGTCGGGCCTCTCCAGAGATCAAGGAGGCCAAACTGAAATTGGCTGCCAGGTGTCCTGGTGTTGGCAGGCAGCAATCATATAGCTGCTGTTAGCTAGCCTCTCGCAGGAGCCAAAGTGGAAGGGGCAGCAGGGCTTCTCGGTGATCGCAGAGAGCGGTGATGGCCGAGAGTAGGGCACAGCCGGACTGTCTGACGTCAGCAGGTCAGTGCCCCGAACATCTGGTGTCGACATTGATGGGACGAAAACACGAGACACACACTTCCCGGGCACGCACAGAAGCGCCATGAATGTACACAAGCACAAAAGCACGCACGCACACACCCCTCCAGAGCTTGCGCGTGAGCGAAGGCACAAAGTATTCTTCGTTCCTCTCACCATGCATAAGCACCAATGTTCAAGTTCACAGCCCCCTTCGCCAGTAGACGAAATACAGCACAAAGAGTGTTAAACAGAGCAAAAATTACACTCAATATCTGGCCAAAAAAACATAAAAACATAATATA